TTCAGCATCAATATGTTGTTACTTCGACTATCCCTGAAGTCAAAGCTTTGAAAAAAGAACTCCCTGTGCTCCGGGACCTGGAAGGCTCTTACTACCTCCGGCAGGAAAGGGATGGGCTCTTGTTTGGTCCATATGAAAGTCAGGAGAAAATGAAAGTCCAGGACTCATGGGTCACCAGTGGAGTCCCTTCAGGTTAGTGTAGCAAATGGAAGTGTGTGCATAGCAGGCATGTGTGTTTTATCTTTCCTGTGGCTGGGGGCTGGCCACAGAATAAGATGATGCCATAACACTAGACTATTGGATACCGGGGATATTGAGGGTGAGGGGTTTGAGGTAACCTCTGTTCTCTTCTCCATTTGAATAATCACAGTAGGGAGTAAGGAAAGAGAGAAGAGGCAGCTGGTGGTGGAGAAGCTGAAGAAACATGCTCCCCACTGCTTTGGAAGGCTCTAGGTAATTTTTACCTGCCCACACCTACCTCCTGCATCCCTGCTCTTTCCTCACTCCCCCTCCTGCTGTGTTCTAGTGTCCAGATTTAGCTGCTACTGTGCTCTGACAGTTGGAAACAGGACAGATATCAGAGACAGGCTATCCAGCCTGCTAAGAAAGAAAACCTTGGAGTCTATTATAGAGCAGGGTAGGTTAGGACTACACACTGAAGCCTACCTACTACATAAGGTGATGAGGAAAAGGCTCCGGCCTCTGTGCTAAACAGGAGGCACTATTGTTTCTCTTTTAAGTTTGGAAGGGAAGAGGACCTTTTTCTGGTATTTATGGGACATTTCTGCAGAGTCGGGGTAAAGATTGGGTCAATGAAGGAGGTAGTTCAGGTTTTAATTTATAAAAGGAGTTAAAATGTCACTGAGACACAATTATTATAACGTGAAATGGAGGAATTTATACTTTCTAGAATTACACTTTGATAAGCTACTTGAGATAGGGACGGAATCCCTCCCTACTGTTCCTCAAAGAATGCCTCTGTCCATGTCACAAGTGATCACTAAACCACCTTCAACAGAAGTTGGGCCAGTTACCTGAGGGCTTTAGTTTTACTGAATGTGCTATGCACATTTGGGCCTGAACAGAATAGCTCCTGACCCCGGAGGGAGGGCTGATCTGACACCTGGGAGCCTCCCCCTTGGCTCTGCCCCATGCTGGCAGCCTCTCCTCCAAATAAATGTTGAACAAATGTTTAAATAATTGCAGTTGGAGGGAGAGCCAGACTGCTCACTGGCCCTGAGTGCCCACAGGATTTGGTCGAATCCTGCTGATCTGTAGGTCTCCAGGCCACTGACCCAACATGCAGTCCATGGGAGGAACAGGAAGAAGCTGGCTGGCTGCTGTGTGGGAAAATCATCAGTATTGGTGGACACATTTTTTTAGAAGGTCATCTGTGGCCCTGCCTTCAGTCAGAGTGCCTTGTAGGACTGAGAAGATGACTGCACGCCAAGCCCTCTGATATAACTAGGAGCGAGCTCAGGGAGAGAGGCCTCTGTGCCATTCCTGCCCTGCTGGGAGTTAAAAGGGATCTAAAATCCATCATCTTAGATCCCAGAGTAGTTTTCCACTTAGCCCAGTGTCCTAGTATGACTTACTAAACTCCCACTTGCCCTCACCTGGGCAGATGAAGCAGATTTTATGGTTAGTTGGATAAAAGATCTCTCTTAATAAACCAAATAATTGCTGCTTATTTTTAAAAATTGTGACTGGATTAAATACTGAAAACTGTTACCATGTATAAATTTAAATTTTCTATTAATTAAAAAGGTTAACTTTCATGATCTTATTGTTTCAAGAAATAACATTATTGTTCTTAGTAATATAGTATTTACCCATCTGTTGACAGTGAATGTCAAGATTAGACTTACAAAAGAAAAAGAGGAGCCTGGCCAGCGTGGCTCACTGGTTGAGCATCAACCAATGAACCAAAAGCTCTCCAATCCCTGGTCGGGGCACACGCCTGGGTTGCAGGCTCAATCCTTGGCAGGAGGAGGCCGATCAATGTCTCTTTCTCACCAATGTTTCTAGCTCTCTATCCCTCTAAAATCAATAA